TCATCAAAAAATGCCAATAAAGATTCTTCCTATGGCTCTCCTTTAAATTCTACTTTTGTTATTGCTATTGACAGTCCAGACTGGTCCTGCAGTACACTTTGTTTCCCAGGTTGAATTCAAGCCTGAGTCCCCAGAGTATTGGGATTACAAGCCCACACCACACACTGCTTTTTGTCCTCATTCTGACACTTGATCCTACCTGGGATCTGCCTGAGCCTGCCTGGCATGGAGGAAGTCCATCTTAGGTGGAATTGCTGTTAAGCATCTTCATTCCCGATCCCCTGAGACTGCCTCCTGGAGCTGTAACATCTTACCATCCCACCTCTGACACCTGTGCCCTTAATATACTGCAGGTGTCTGGAAAAGGGGCAGTGGAGGCACAGGACAACAGATAAACCAAGTGTCTGACTTACCTCAAGAATTAGAGAAAGTAAAGTAGGAGACTTGAGGAATTCTCAACGGCAGAGATCGAACTGGTTAGAGGTCGGCAATAGATTTGACCCTGAGGGTCAGAGGTCTTGGGGCCTGGTGGTGTTGGAACTAAGGTCTGACCTCACCAATGAGTCTCCTAGGAGAAAAGATGTGGGCTTGTCATTAAGAAGGATGGCTCAACCGGGCGTTGGTGGTGAATGCCTTTAATCCCAGCGCTCAGGAGGCAGAGGCAGGTGGATCTACAGATCGAGTTCCAGGACAGCCTCCAAAACAATACAGAGAAACCCTGTCTCGAAAAAACAAAACAAAACAAAAAGATGGCTCAACAGGTAAAGGCCATTGCCCCTAAATCTGATGACCTGAACTCCATCCTTAGGACCAACATAGTGAGAGAACCGCTGTAATCGGTCAGATAACCACCAAGCATGTGGGTGTACAAACACATGCAGTAAACATATAAACATTTTAAAAGAAAAGATACTAAGACTGTGGAATAAGCTTAGAGGGTAGATTGATCCCTAGGATGCAGGAAATGATGGGCTACCTCCCCAGAAACAAATAATGAACAAATGATAGCTCAGGCCTGTAATGCTAGCACTCCTGCAATGTCATTGAGCAACAGTGAGTCCATGGCCATCCTAAATGGTTACTTGAGAACACAAACAGCCTTGAAAGCTCTGCCTCAGAATCTCTGCTTATTTGTTTGTTTTTTGCTTTTCAAGACATGGTTTCTCTGTGTAGCTTTGTAGACCAAGCTGGTCTCAGACTCACAGAGATCCACCTACGTCTGCCTCCCTAATACTGGGATTAAAGGTGTGCACCACCAGCATCTGACTTGCCCATTCACTTTTAAGTATTCCTCTGTGTGTGTGTGTGTGTGTGTGTGTGTGTGTGTGTGTGTGTGTGTGTGTGTGTGTAGGAAATGCATGCCACTGTATGCATGTGGAGGCCAGTGATGGACGCCTCTGTTGTTGTCCCTTATCTTTCATCTGAAGAAAAAGCAGATATATTTTTATGTATATGAGTATTTTTCCTGCATGTATATACATTTGTATAAGCAGGTCAGCCAATTGCCCAACTTACCTCAAGAATTAGAAGTAATGTGGGAGATGAGGAATTTTCCTCAACTGGGAAGGGGAGACTTGACCCCTAGGGTCAGAGGTCTTGGGACCTGGTGACCTTGGTACCTATAGATTGACCTCACCAATAATCCTCCTAGGAGAAAAGATGAAAGGTTGATATTAAGAAAGGATATTAAGAAGGGGGAAATGAGTGTTCTCTGACATCCCAAACTATATAGTGCATATGTTTGTGTGCATGCACACGGATGGACACACACACAGAGAGAGACAGAGACAGAGACAGAGAGATACAGAGACAGGGAGGTGGAGAGAGCAATAAAAACATTTTAACGAAAGAGGTTGTTCACTGGGAAGAATGCTAGCATAGCATACAGGAAACCATGAGTTATCTCTGTACAGCATAAAGGGCCCATGGTAGGCAAGGCTTGAAATCTCAACATTCCCAAATGTATGGGACAAAAGCCAGGCATGGTGGTGCATAACTTTTATCCCAATACTCGGGAGGCAGAGGCAGGCAGATCTCTGTGAGTTTGAGGCCAGCTTGATCTACATAGTGAGACCTTGTCTTGAAATAACAACAACAAAGCTACAGGGAACTGAGTGGGGAGTTCAGTGTCATAGTAAGACACATGGTGAATCCTTGGCCATCGTAACATGACTGCATGAGAAGAAGTAACATTCAAGGCATCTCCCTCCAAATCTCTGCTCATTATTGACATTAGTATTTGTGTGTTTTGATGAGAATGAAGTGAATCAAGCCCTCCCTCTAATGTGGTCCTGGCCATACACATGCTTTGAAGCAGTGTTTATGGTTCTCTGTATCCTTTAGTTCTCTGTAGTCATCTAGGAAAGAGGCTAAGGGGACATAGGACAAAAGAGAATCCAAGAGTCTAACTCACCTCAAAAAATAGGGTAAGTAATTTGGGAAGCTTAGAGAGGAGAACTCTAATCAGTAGTGGGGTTGGCAGAGGACTTGACCCAAAGGGTCAGAGGTCCTGAAACCTAGTGATGTAGGGTCCTACTAGCTGGGAGCACCAATGAGCCTCCTAGGACAAAAGAGGAAGGTTTATCATGGAGGAGAATTCTTGGAGACTAACCAGATTGTTTAACTCATGAGGGCACTTGCCACCAGCCAGCTGTCCTCTACCTTCCCATGTGCATTGTACCCTAAACACATAGTACAATAACAATAAATAATAAAAGTAATGAAGATAGTCTAACAAAAGAAATTCTATTAGGACTGAGGTAGAGTTGGTAGAATGCTGTCCTGGCATTCAGCAAACCATAAAGAGTACAAAGTAGATAAGGCTTATAATTCTGGCATTCCTGAACATTGAAGCCACTGATGGGGGTTCAAAGTCACCAACGATGGCCATGCTACATGGTTAATGAAACCATGAAATGGTGTTAAAGTCTCTCACGCTCAGACATGTGTAATATGCAGTAGTGGGCACGTAGGGGGCACAAGACATCTTTGAGTGTTGGTCCTCAGTGTCCACCATTTTAGATGCAGGGTTTCTTCTCCACTGTATGCACCAGGATAACTGTCCCATGAGTTTCCAGACAGACTCCTATTTCTGCCAGATTTCTTGTTAGAGGAGAGTGTAACTACTGATGTGTCCCACCTATTGAGCTTTTACATGTGTTCTTGGGACTCAAGTAAGGTCTTAGAACTTGTTTGACAACCACTTTGTACACTAAGCCAACACCACTGCTGCCCCCATTTCTGATAGCCCACCTAGCCTGAAAAACACTTTCTCCACTTAGGTCTCTTTGTCCAGGAACAGCAGTGAGACTCCAAGGAAAAAATACGTAGATTTGCTATTAAGGCAGCACATTAGTTGCTGGCAAGATGTCTCAGCCGATAAAGGCTTTTGCCTTCAAATCTTATGATCAGGGTTCAATCCCAACAACCCAAACAGTACACTGAAAGAACTGACTCCTTTAATTCATTTTTTAACTTCCTTAGGTATGATGCCATGGAGGTTTGGGAATTCAAACACACTATGGGTGTGTGTGTGTGTGTGTGTGTGTGTGTGTGTGTGTGTAATAAAAGACATCTAAGACTTGGAAACAAGGTCAGCTGATAGAGAGCTAGACAAGAATGGAGGAAGACAAAAATTGCATCCCTGCACAAAATAAATGGCACATGGTGGCTCAGGTTGTCCCTAGTTTCCTAAAGGTGTAGGCAGCTGGAACAACAGTTGAAAGTACTCCATTGCGCTGTACTAAGACCTTGCTACCATACATTGTTACAGGAAAAGGAAAAGTCATTAATGACTCTCCCCTGACACTGCCTATTCTTCTTTTTAACTTTTTTTTCAGGAAGAGTTGTGATGTGTGCTATTGTGTATGCTGAGTACACATAGCATCCTTGGGTATTGATCTTCACGGTCAGACCCATGCATATATGATACGTTTTTACAAAAGAAAAACATTTGACTTGGAAGTAAATTGGTAAAGATAGAGTGAACCCTCCTCAAAATGCAGTAATGGTACATGGAAGTTCAGGACTGTAATCTTAACATCCTGAAGGTAGAACCCCTAGAATATGAGTTAAAGTCATCATTACTGAGACCTTGGCCATCCTATATAGCTACATAAAACCAAGAAATGCCATTAAAGGCACTGCCTAAGACTTTTAGATAATTCATTGTCTTTTAAGAAGATGTAGCTTTGTGCACTTATGGAGAAGGTCCTATTTAAAAGGCTGGCCTAACAGCCCACCATTTCCAGGTAGGAGCTCTTGGCATTTGCTCTATAAGCTGGTCTACACGCCACGTCAACATGAGAGAGCCTTCCATTGGACCATAGGGGATGAGAGTACAAAGGGTACAATCCATTAGGTTTTGAAATGTTCTCTGGTAACTCAAACTAGCTCATGCATATTGGGAAAACCTGTGGCAAATAACACCCATTCCTCTTGAGGTATCTTTACAGCAACTTAGCCAGAGAAACCTGCAGATATGACTTAACTGAAACCCTCAGTTTGGCTTGAGTTGTGCGGACTCAAACGCAGATCTTCATGCTGGTTGGCAAGTGTCATACCCAATAATCCATCCCCTCAGCACTCCCTCCCCTCCAATGTTGAGGGTCCAGGCCAGCCTGGGGTATCTCTGGTTTCCCAGACTAATATCTCAACAGGAAATCTGTGTGAGCCTCCTGAGTCTTGGCATCTCATGCCCCCACCTCCTAGGCCACAGTTTCTTTGGTCCCACATTCTTGTCTTCCACTCCTCTGGATCCATCCCAAGGCTTCTCTCCCGTGCCTAGCCCAGGAAGCACTCATTGTGTGTGTAGGCTGTATGAATGACTGTAGAACCACCTTCCTCCCCAGTTGTCTCTGGTCCTCTCCTGGGGCTGTAAGGTCTCTGCCATCGGACTCCCAACCTCAGCATCTGCAACTGTGGTAACCTTCAGGTGCTAGGCATGCGTGTCAGGTGGGCGCGTGGCACAGATGATGATTTACATGTCCCACTCACCTCAAGGAATGGCGGTAACTTGGGAGGCTTGAAGAAGTCTCCTCTTGCAAGGGAGCTCCTACGAGTGGGGCGCCAGTAAAGGATCAGACCCAGAGGGTCAGGGGCCCTAGGACCTGATGGCCTAGGTCCTTACTGGCCAAACACCGATCAGCCTCCTAGGAGAAAGATGCAGGATTGTCATCAAAAAAGTGTATTCTGGCAAGTGTTTTTCTGAGTCAGAACAGTAATCTACCTGTGTGATGATTCTATTTGTGTGTTCCTTACAATTATGAGGCCTTATATATTTTGAGAGGTATCGTGGGCCAGCAAGATGACTTGGTGGATGGAGGCTTCTGCTGCCAAGCCTGAACACCAGGGCTGAAGTCCAGCACTCAAACTGGGAGCCCTAGCCATGTGCCCCAGGCCATGCCAGTGAGGGTGGGCAGGCTCACAAACACACACACACACACACACACACACACAGGTGTGAGCTTGTGACCCAAACACATGTTCTCTTGAACCTCATGGTTGAGAAAGCATGAAGCCGTGTCCTGGGAACTCTCCCTACACTGTTTTGGGTGTACAGGGGACCCTGCACTTCCCATCTTTCCCAGGGTGATCAGCAGTTACTTAAGGAGCCCCATCACCTGCCGCCCAGTCCCCTATCCCCCAGAGAATGACATGCTCACACCACTCCATGATACTTTTCTTTCTTTTGTCACCTGATCTAAACAGGGGATCCCACTTTTCATGCCCTCTGTAGCTGGGATTTAGGAAAAGATTTGCACCGCCCATGCAACACTGCTTCAGGTCCAACCCGGGGCTTCAAGGTCTTTAACTTCCCACATTCCTACAAGGCTACAGGACAGAAGAGGAGCCGAGTGTCCAACTCACCTCACGAAATAGGGGGAGCAACGTGGGGGCCTTGGAGATTGCTCCAACAGGGGAGCTCCAACGGTGTGGGGAGGGGTGAAGTGGACTTGACCCAGAGGGTCAGTGGTCCTGAGACCTGATGCCCTAGGTCCCTACTGGCTGGGCACACCAGTGAGCCTCCTAGGAGCAAAGATGAGGGACTGTCATTAAGAATGGATACTGGGGGTGCTTGAGTGGTTCCCCGGATACAGTTTTTTGCTCCCAGTCCCCGATCCTCAGAACCCACATGTTCTCATGACTGGTACACGTTCTCCTCAGACCCGCCCACACGTGTGATGGCCTACAATTGCTGGGTGTACAATTCACACAACCCATGTCATACAAATATGTTTAATAACAGCGTTTGTATGGTCAGTAGGGAATGAATTTGGTTGGCCAAGTGCTAGCATAGCATACAGGAAGCCATGGGTGCCCCCTCCCCTCAGCACCAAAAGCCACCTGGTAGCTCAGGCCTGTGATCCTGTATTCCCCAAGCTGGAGGCTGCTGGCATTCCAGTTCACAGACCTCCTTAGTGACACAGTGAGAGAGTGGCCATCCCAAGTCTTTCTGTGGGACCATGAAGTGCCTTTAAAAGCTCTCCTTCACTAAGTCCCCTTACTCGGTGCCATGTCATTATCTGTACACGCCTGTGTGTCTCCTGTAGAGTGCAGGGACACACACTCGCCTGTGAGAAAGGTGCAACAGTGTCTCTTGCAACTATTTGCAGAAAGCAGGCATTGGAGGATGTGGTACTAGCCCACCCCAGTTTTGGTCCACCCCTAGTTTTGGTCCACAGCCTTGTCATCATTTTGCCCTGCCAGCCAGCTGCCCTCTGAGCTTCCAGACTGCCTGTATTGTCTCTGCCTCCCAGGTGGCCACAGAAACCTGCAGGGTATGACCTACCCAACTCCCTCAATTTTGCCTGCATTGTGGGGCCTCAAACGCAGATCTTCATGCTGGTTGGCAAGTGTCATACCCAATAATCCATCCCCTCAGCACTCCCTCCCTCCAATGTTGAGGGTCCAGGCCAGCCTGGGGTATCTCTGGTTTCCCAGACTAATATCTCAACAGGAAATCTGTGTGAGCCTCCTGAGTCTTGGCATCTCATGCCCCCACCTCCTAGGCCACAGTTTCTTTGGTCCCACATTCTTGTCTTCCACTCCTCTGGATCCATCCCAAGGCTTCTCTCCCGTGCCTAGCCCAGGAAGCACTCATTGTGTGTGTACGCTGTATGAATGACTGTAGAGCCACCTTCCTCCCCAGTTGTCTCTGGTCCTCTCCTGGGGCTGTAAGGTCTCTACCATCGGACTCCCAACCTCAGCATCTGCAACTGTGGTAACCTTCAGGTGCTAGGCATGCGTGTCAGGTGGGCGCGTGGCACAGATGATGATTTACATGTCCCACTCACCTCAAGGAATGGCGGTAACTTGGGAGGCTTGAAGAAGTCTCCTCTTGCAAGGGAGCTCCTACGAGTGGGGCGCCAGTAAAGGATCAGACCCAGAGGGTCAGGGGCCCTAGGACCTGATGGCCTAGGTCCTTACTGGCCAAACACCGATCAGCCTCCTAGGAAAAAGATGCAGGATTGTCATCAAAAAAGTGTATTCTGGCAAGTGTTTTTCTGAGTCAGAACAGTAATCTACCTGTGTGATGATTCTATTTGTGCGTTCCTTACAATTATGAGGCCTTATATATTTTGAGAGGTATCGTGGGCCAGCAAGATGACTTGGTGGATGGAGGCTTCTGCTGCCAAGCCTGAACACCAGGGCTGAAGTCCAGCACTCAAACTGGGAGCCCTAGCCATGTGCCCCAGGCCATGCCAGTGAGGGTGGGCAGGCTCACAAACACACACACACACACACACACACACACACACACACACACACAGGTGTGAGCTTGTGACCCAAACACATGTTCTCTTGAACCTCATGGTTGAGAAAGCATGAAGCCGTGTCCTGGGAACTCTCCCTACACTGTTTTGGGTGTACAGGGGACCCTGCACTTCCCATCTTTCCCAGGGTGATCAGCAGTTACTTAAGGAGCCCCATCACCTGCCGCCCAGTCCCCCATCCCCCAGAGAATGACATGCTCACACCACTCCATGATACTTTTCTTTCTTTTGTCACCTGATCTAAACAGGGGATCCCACTTTTCATGCCCTCTGTAGCTGGGATTTAGGAAAAGATTTGCACCGCCCATGCAACACTGCTTCAGGTCCAACCCGGGGCTTCAAGGTCTTTAACTTCCCACATTCCTACAAGGCTACAGGACAGAAGAGGAGCCGAGTGTCCAACTCACCTCACGAAATAGGGGGAGCAACGTGGGGGCCTTGGAGATTGCTCCAACAGGGGAGCTCCAACGGTGTGGGGAGGGGTGAAGTGGACTTGACCCAGAGGGTCAGTGGTCCTGAGACCTGATGCCCTAGGTCCCTACTGGCTGGGCACACCAGTGAGCCTCCTAGGAGCAAAGATGAGGGACTGTCATTAAGAATGGATACTGGGGGTGCTTGAGTGGTTCCCCGGATACAGTTTTTTGCTCCCAGTCCCCGATCCTCAGAACCCACATGTTCTCATGACTGGTACACGTTCTCCTCAGACCCGCCCACACGTGTGATGGCCTACAATTGCTGGGTGTACAATTCACACAACCCATGTCATACAAATATGTTTAATAACAGCGTTTGTATGGTCAGTAGGGAATGAATTTGGTTGGCCAAGTGCTAGCATAGCATACAGGAAGCCATGGGTGCCCCCTCCCCTCAGCACCAAAAGCCACCTGGTAGCTCAGGCCTGTGATCCTGTATTCCCCAAGCTGGAGGCTGCTGGCATTCCAGTTCACAGACCTCCTTAGTGACACAGTGAGAGAGTGGCCATCCCAAGTCTTTCTGTGGGACCATGAAGTGCCTTTAAAAGCTCTCCTTCACTAAGTCCCCTTACTCGGTGCCATGTCATTATCTGTACACGCCTGTGTGTCTCCTGTAGAGTGCAGGGACACACACTCGCCTGTGAGAAAGGTGCAACAGTGTCTCTTGCAACTATTTGCAGAAAGCAGGCATTGGAGGATGTGGTACTAGCCCACCCCAGTTTTGGTCCACCCCTAGTTTTGGTCCACAGCCTTGTCATCATTTTGCCCTGCCAGCCAGCTGCCCTCTGAGCTTCCAGACTGCCTGTATTGTCTCTGCCTCCCAGGTGGCCACAGAAACCTGCAGGGTATGACCTACCCAACTCCCTCAATTTTGCCTGCATTGTGGGGCCTCAAACGCAGATCTTCATGCTGGTTGGCAAGTGTCATACCCAATAATCCATCCCCTCAGCACTCCCTCCCTCCAATGTTGAGGGTCCAGGCCAGCCTGGGGTATCTCTGGTTTCCCAGACTAATATCTCAACAGGAAATCTGTGTGAGCCTCCTGAGTCTTGGCATCTCATGCCCCCACCTCCTAGGCCACAGTTTCTTTGGTCCCACATTCTTGTCTTCCACTCCTCTGGATCCATCCCAAGGCTTCTCTCCCGTGCCTAGCCCAGGAAGCACTCATTGTGTGTGTAGGCTGTATGAATGACTGTAGAACCACCTTCCTCCCCAGTTGTCTCTGGTCCTCTCCTGGGGCTGTAAGGTCTCTACCATCGGACTCCCAACCTCAGCATCTGCAACTGTGGTAACCTTCAGGTGCTAGGCATGCGTGTCAGGTGGGAGCGTGGCACAGATGATGATTTACATGTCCCACTCACCTCAAGGAATGGCGGTAACTTGGGAGGCTTGAAGAAGTCTCCTCTTGCAAGGGAGCTCCTACGAGTGGGGCGCCAGTAAAGGATCAGACCCAGAGGGTCAGGGGCCCTAGGACCTGATGGCCTAGGTCCTTACTGGCCAAACACCGATCAGCCTCCTAGGAGAAAGATGCAGGATTGTCATCAAAAAAGTGTATTCTGGCAAGTGTTTTTCTGAGTCAGAACAGTAATCTACCTGTGTGATGATTCTATTTGTGCGTTCCTTACAATTATGAGGCCTTATATATTTTGAGAGGTATCGTGGGCCAGCAAGATGACTTGGTGGATGGAGGCTTCTGCTGCCAAGCCTGAACACCAGGGCTGAAGTCCAGCACTCAAACTGGGAGCCCTAGCCATGTGCCCCAGGCCATGCCAGTGAGGGTGGGCAGGCTCACAAACACACACACACACACACACACACACACACACAGGTGTGAGCTTGTGACCCAAACACATGTTCTCTTGAACCTCATGGTTGAGAAAGCATGAAGCCGTGTCCTGGGAACTCTCCCTACACTGTTTTGGGTGTACAGGGGACCCTGCACTTCCCATCTTTCCCAGGGTGATCAGCAGTTACTTAAGGAGCCCCATCACCTGCCGCCCAGTCCCCCATCCCCCAGAGAATGACATGCTCACACCACTCCATGATACTTTTCTTTCTTTTGTCACCTGATCTAAACAGGGGATCCCACTTTTCATGCCCTCTGTAGCTGGGATTTAGGAAAAGATTTGCACCGCCCATGCAACACTGCTTCAGGTCCAGCCCGGGGCTTCAAGGTCTTTAACTTCCCACATTCCTACAAGGCTACAGGACAGAAGAGGAGCCGAGTGTCCAACTCACCTCACGAAATAGGGGGAGCAACGTGGGGGCCTTGGAGATTGCTCCAACAGGGGAGCTCCAACGGTGTGGGGAGGGGTGAAGTGGACTTGACCCAGAGGGTCAGTGGTCCTGAGACCTGATGCCCTAGGTCCCTACTGGCTGGGCACACCAGTGAGCCTCCTAGGAGCAAAGATGAGGGACTGTCATTAAGAATGGATACTGGGGGTGCTTGAGTGGTTCCCCGGATACAGTTTTTTGCTCCCAGTCCCCGATCCTCAGAACCCACATGTTCTCATGACTGGTACACGTTCTCCTCAGACCCGCCCACACGTGTGATGGCCTACAATTGCTGGGTGTACAATTCACACAACCCATGTCATACAAATATGTTTAATAACAGCGTTTGTATGGTCAGTAGGGAATGAATTTGGTTGGCCAAGTGCTAGCATAGCATACAGGAAGCCATGGGTGCCCCCTCCCCTCAGCACCAAAAGCCACCTGGTAGCTCAGGCCTGTGATCCTGTATTCCCCAAGCTGGAGGCTGCTGGCATTCCAGTTCACAGACCTCCTTAGTGACACAGTGAGAGAGTGGCCATCCCAAGTCTTTCTGTGGGACCATGAAGTGCCTTTAAAAGCTCTCCTTCACTAAGTCCCCTTACTCGGTGCCATGTCATTATCTGTACACGCCTGTGTGTCTCCTGTAGAGTGCAGGGACACACACTCGCCTGTGAGAAAGGTGCAACAGTGTCTCTTGCAACTATTTGCAGAAAGCAGGCATTGGAGGATGTGGTACTAGCCCACCCCAGTTTTGGTCCACCCCTAGTTTTGGTCCACAGCCTTGTCATCATTTTGCCCTGCCAGCCAGCTGCCCTCTGAGCTTCCAGACTGCCTGTATTGTCTCTGCCTCCCAGGTGGCCACAGAAACCTGCAGGGTATGACCTACCCAACTCCCTCAATTTTGCCTGCATTGTGGGGCCTCAAACGCAGATCTTCATGCTGGTTGGCAAGTGTCATACCCAATAATCCATCCCCTCAGCACTCCCTCCCCTCCAATGTTGAGGGTCCAGGCCAGCCTGGGGTATCTCTGGTTTCCCAGACTAATATCTCAACAGGAAATCTGTGTGAGCCTCCTGAGTCTTGGCATCTCATGCCCCCACCTCCTAGGCCACAGTTTCTTTGGTCCCACATTCTTGTCTTCCACTCCTCTGGATCCATCCCAAGGCTTCTCTCCCGTGCCTAGCCCAGGAAGCACTCATTGTGTGTGTAGGCTGTATGAATGACTGTAGAACCACCTTCCTCCCCAGTTGTCTCTGGTCCTCTCCTGGGGCTGTAAGGTCTCTACCATCGGACTCCCAACCTCAGCATCTGCAACTGTGGTAACCTTCAGGTGCTAGGCATGCGTGTCAGGTGGGAGCGTGGCACAGATGATGATTTACATGTCCCACTCACCTCAAGGAATGGCGGTAACTTGGGAGGCTTGAAGAAGTCTCCTCTTGCAAGGGAGCTCCTACGAGTGGGGCGCCAGTAAAGGATCAGACCCAGAGGGTCAGGGGCCCTAGGACCTGATGGCCTAGGTCCTTACTGGCCAAACACCGATCAGCCTCCTAGGAGAAAGATGCAGGATTGTCATCAAAAAAGTGTATTCTGGCAAGTGTTTTTCTGAGTCAGAACAGTAATCTACCTGTGTGATGATTCTATTTGTGCGTTCCTTACAATTATGAGGCCTTATATATTTTGAGAGGTATCGTGGGCCAGCAAGATGACTTGGTGGATGGAGGCTTCTGCTGCCAAGCCTGAACACCAGGGCTGAAGTCCAGCACTCAAACTGGGAGCCCTAGCCATGTGCCCCAGGCCATGCCAGTGAGGGTGGGCAGGCTCACAAACACACACACACACACACACACACACACACACAGGTGTGAGCTTGTGACCCAAACACATGTTCTCTTGAACCTCATGGTTGAGAAAGCATGAAGCCGTGTCCTGGGAACTCTCCCTACACTGTTTTGGGTGTACAGGGGACCCTGCACTTCCCATCTTTCCCAGGGTGATCAGCAGTTACTTAAGGAGCCCCATCACCTGCCGCCCAGTCCCCCATCCCCCAGAGAATGACATGCTCACACCACTCCATGATACTTTTCTTTCTTTTGTCACCTGATCTAAACAGGGGATCCCACTTTTCATGCCCTCTGTAGCTGGGATTTAGGAAAAGATTTGCACCGCCCATGCAACACTGCTTCAGGTCCAGCCCGGGGCTTCAAGGTCTTTAACTTCCCACATTCCTACAAGGCTACAGGACAGAAGAGGAGCCGAGTGTCCAACTCACCTCACGAAATAGGGGGAGCAACGTGGGGGCCTTGGAGATTGCTCCAACAGGGGAGCTCCAACGGTGTGGGGAGGGGTGAAGTGGACTTGACCCAGAGGGTCAGTGGTCCTGAGACCTGATGCCCTAGGTCCCTACTGGCTGGGCACACCAGTGAGCCTCCTAGGAGCAAAGATGAGGGACTGTCATTAAGAATGGATACTGGGGGTGCTTGAGTGGTTCCCCGGATACAGTTTTTTGCTCCCAGTCCCCGATCCTCAGAACCCACATGTTCTCATGACTGGTACACGTTCTCCTCAGACCCGCCCACACGTGTGATGGCCTACAATTGCTGGGTGTACAATTCACACAACCCATGTCATACAAATATGTTTAATAACAGCGTTTGTATGGTCAGTAGGGAATGAATTTGGTTGGCCAAGTGCTAGCATAGCATACAGGAAGCCATGGGTGCCCCCTCCCCTCAGCACCAAAAGCCACCTGGTAGCTCAGGCCTGTGATCCTGTATTCCCCAAGCTGGAGGCTGCTGGCATTCCAGTTCACAGACCTCCTTAGTGACACAGTGAGAGAGTGGCCATCCCAAGTCTTTCTGTGGGACCATGAAGTGCCTTTAAAAGCTCTCCTTCACTAAGTCCCCTTACTCGGTGCCATGTCATTATCTGTACACGCCTGTGTGTCTCCTGTAGAGTGCAGGGACACACACTCGCCTGTGAGAAAGGTGCAACAGTGTCTCTTGCAACTATTTGCAGAAAGCAGGCATTGGAGGATGTGGTACTAGCCCACCCCAGTTTTGGTCCACCCCTAGTTTTGGTCCACAGCCTTGTCATCATTTTGCCCTGCCAGCCAGCTGCCCTCTGAGCTTCCAGACTGCCTGTATTGTCTCTGCCTCCCAGGTGGCCACAGAAACCTGCAGGGTATGACCTACCCAACTCCCTCAATTTTGCCTGCATTGTGGGGCCTCAAACGCAGATCTTCATGCTGGTTGGCAAGTGTCATACCCAATAATCCATCCCCTCAGCACTCCCTCCCCTCCAATGTTGAGGGTCCAGGCCAGCCTGGGGTATCTCTGGTTTCCCAGACTAATATCTCAACAGGAAATCTGTGTGAGCCTCCTGAGTCTTGGCATCTCATGCCCCCACCTCCTAGGCCACAGTTTCTTTGGTCCCACATTCTTGTCTTCCACTCCTCTGGATCCATCCCAAGGCTTCTCTCCCGTGCCTAGCCCAGGAAGCACTCATTGTGTGTGTAGGCTGTATGAATGACTGTAGAACCACCTTCCTCCCCAGTTGTCTCTGGTCCTCTCCTGGGGCTGTAAGGTCTCTACCATCGGACTCCCAACCTCAGCATCTGCAACTGTGGTAACCTTCAGGTGCTAGGCATGCGTGTCAGGTGGGAGCGTGGCACAGATGATGATTTACATGTCCCACTCACCTCAAGGAATGGCGGTAACTTGGGAGGCTTGAAGAAGTCTCCTCTTGCAAGGGAGCTCCTACGAGTGGGGCGCCAGTAAAGGATCAGACCCAGAGGGTCAGGGGCCCTAGGACCTGATGGCCTAGGTCCTTACTGGCCAAACACCGATCAGCCTCCTAGGAGAAAGATGCAGGATTGTCATCAAAAAAGTGTATTCTGGCAAGTGTTTTTCTGAGTCAGAACAGTAATCTACCTGTGTGATGATTCTATTTGTGCGTTCCTTACAATTATGAGGCCTTATATATTTTGAGAGGTATCGTGGGCCAGCAAGATGACTTGGTGGATGGAGGCTTCTGCTGCCAAGCCTGAACACCAGGGCTGAAGTCCAGCACTCAAACTGGGAGCCCTAGCCATGTGCCCCAGGCCATGCCAGTGAGGGTGGGCAGGCTCACAAACACACACACACACACACACACACACACACAGGTGTGAGCTTGTGACCCAAACACATGTTCTCTTGAACCTCATGGTTGAGAAAGCATGAAGCCGTGTCCTGGGAACTCTCCCTACACTGTTTTGGGTGCACAGGGGACCCTGCACTTCCCATCTTTCCCAGGGTGATCAGCAGTTACTTAAGGAGCCCCATCACCTGCCGCCCAGTCCCCCATCCCCCAGAGAATGACATGCTCACACCACTCCATGATACTTTTCTTTCTTTTGTCACCTGATCTAAACAGGGGATCCCACTTTTCATGCCCTCTGTAGCTGGGATTTAGGAAAAGATTTGCACCGCCCATGCAACACTGCTTCAGGTCCAACCCGGGGCTTCAAGGTCTTTAACTTCCCACATTCCTACAAGGCTACAGGACAGAAGAGGAGCCGAGTGTCCAACTCACCTCACGAAATAGGGGGAGCAACGTGGGGGCCTTGGAGATTGCTCCAACAGGGGAGCTCCAACGGTGTGGGGAGGGGTGAAGTGGACTTGACCCAGAGGGTCAGTGGTCCTGAGACCTGATGCCCTAGGTCCCTACTGGCTGGGCACACCAGTGAGCCTCCTAGGAGCAAAGATGAGGGACTGTCATTAAGAATGGATACTGGGGGTGCTTGAGTGGTTCCCCGGATACAGTTTTTTGCTCCCAGTCCCCGATCCTCAGAACCCACATGTTCTCATGACTGGTACACGTTCTCCTCAGACCCGCCCACACGTGTGATGGCCTACAATTGCTGGGTGTACAATTCACACAACCCATGTCATACAAATATGTTTAATAACAGCGTTTGTATGGTCAGTAGGGAATGAATTTGGTTGGCCAAGTGCTAGCATAGCATACAGGAAGCCATGGGTGCCCCCTCCCCTCAGCACCAAAAGCCACCTGGTAGCTCAGGCCTGTGATCCTGTATTCCCCAAGCTGGAGGCTGCTGGCATTCCAGTTCACAGACCTCCTTAGTGACACAGTGAGAGAGTGGCCATCCCAAGTCTTTCTGTGGGACCATGAAGTGCCTTTAAAAGCTCTCCTTCACTAAGTCCCCTTACTCGGTGCCATGTCATTATCTGTACACGCCTGTGTGTCTCCTGTAGAGTGCAGGGACACACACTCGCCTGTGAGAAAGGTGCAACAGTGTCTCTTGCAACTATTTGCAGAAAGCAGGCATTGGAGGATGTGGTACTAGCCCACCCCAGTTTTGGTCCACCCCTAGTTTTGGTCCACAGCCTTGTCATCATTTTGCCCTGCCAGCCAGCTGCCCTCTGAGCTTCCAGACTGCCTGTATTGTCTCTGCCTCCCAGGTGGCCACAGAAACCTGCAGGGTATGACCTACCCAACTCCCTCAATTTTGCCTGCATTGTGGGGCCTCAAACGCAGATCTTCATGCTGGTTGGCAAGTGTCATACCCAATAATCCATCCCCTCAGCACTCCCTCCCCTCCAATGTTGAGGGTCCAGGCCAGCCTGGGGTATCTCTGGTTTCCCAGACTAATATCTCAACAGGAAATCTGTGTGAGCCTCCTGAGTCTTGGCATCTCATGCCCCCACCTCCTAGGCCACAGTTTCTTTGGTCCCACATTCTTGTCTTCCACTCCTCTGGATCCATCCCAAGGCTTCTCTCCCGTGCCTAGCCCAGGAAGCACTCATTGTGTGTGTAGGCTGTATGAATGACTGTAGAACCACCTTCCTCCCCAGTTGTCTCTGGTCCTCTCCTGGGGCTGTAAGGTCTCTACCATCGGACTCCCAACCTCAGCATCTGCAACTGTGGTAACCTTCAGGTGCTAGGCATGCGTGTCAGGTGGGAGCGTGGCACAGATGATGATTTACATGTCCCACTCACCTCAAGGAATGGCGGTAACTTGGGAGGCTTGAAGAAGTCTCCTCTTGCAAGGGAGCTCCTACGAGTGGGGCGCCAGTAAAGGATCAGACCCAGAGGGTCAGGGGCCCTAGGACCTGATGGCCTAGGTCCTTACTGGCCAAACACCGATCAGCCTCCTAGGAGAAAGATGCAGGATTGTCATCAAAAAAGTGTATTCTGGCAAGTGTTTTTCTGAGTCAGAACAGTAATCTACCTGTGTGATGATTCTATTTGTGCGTTCCTTACAATTATGAGGCCTTATATATTTTGAGAGGTATCGTGGGCCAGCAAGATGACTTGGTGGATGGAGGCTTCTGCTGCCAAGCCTGAACACCAGGGCTGAAGTCCAGCACTCAAACTGGGAGCCCTAGCCATGTGCCCCAGGCCATGCCAGTGAGGGTGGGCAGGCTCACAAACACACACACACACACACACACACACACACACAGGTGTGAGCTTGTGACCCAAACACATGTTCTCTTGAACCTCATGGTTGAGAAAGCATGAAGCCGTGTCCTGGGAACTCTCCCTACACTGTTTTGGGTGCACAGGGGACCCTGCACTTCCCATCTTTCCCAGGGTGATCAGCAGTTACTTAAGGAGCCCCATCACCTGCCGCCCAGTCCCCCATCCCCCAGAGAATGACATGCTCACACCACTCCATGATACTTTTCTTTCTTTTGTCACCTGATCTAAACAGGGGATCCCACTTTTCATGCCCTCTGTAGCTGGGATTTAGGAAAAGATTTGCACCGCCCATGCAACACTGCTTCAGGTCCAACCCGGGGCTTCAAGGTCTTTAACTTCCCACATTCCTACAAGGCTACAGGACAGAAGAGGAGCCGAGTGTCCAACTCACCTCACGAAATAGGGGGAGCAACGTGGGGGCCTTGGAGATTGCTCCAACAGGGGAGCTCCAACGGTGTGGGGAGGGGTGAAGTGGACTTGACCCAGAGGGTCAGTGGTCCTGAGACCTGATGCCCTAGGTCCCTACTGGCTGGGCACACCAGTGAGCCTCCTAGGAGCAAAGATGAGGGACTGTCATTAAGAATGGATACTGGGGGTGCTTGAGTGGTTCCCCGGATACAGTTTTTTGCTCCCAGTCCCCGATCCTCAGAACCCACATGTTCTCATGACTGGTACACGTTCTCCTCAGACCCGCCCACACGTGTGATGGCCTACAATTGCTGGGTGTACAATTCACACAACCCATGTCATACAAATATGTTTAATAACAGCGTTTGTATGGTCAGTAGGGAATGAATTTGGTTGGCCAAGTGCTAGCATAGCATACAGGAAGCCATGGGTGCCCCCTCCCCTCAGCACCAAAAGCCACCTGGTAGCTCAGGCCTGTGATCCTGTATTCCCCAAGCTGGAGGCTGCTGGCATTCCAGTTCACAGACCTCCTTAGTGACACAGTGAGAGAGTGGCCATCCCAAGTCTTTCTGTGGGACCATGAAGTGCCTTTAAAAGCTCTCCTTCACTAAGTCCCCTTACTCGGTGCCATGTCATTATCTGTACACGCCTGTGTGTCTCCTGTAGAGTGCAGGGACACACACTCGCCTGTGAGAAAGGTGCAACAGTGTCTCTTGCAACTATTTGCAGAAAGCAGGCATTGGAGGATGTGGTACTAGCCCACCCCAGTTTTGGTCCACCCCTAGTTTTGGTCCACAGCCTTGTCATCATTTTGCCCTGCCAGCCAGCTGCCCTCTGAGCTTCCAGACTGCCTGTATTGTCTCTGCCTCCCAGGTGGCCACAGAAACCTGCAGGGTATGACCTACCCAACTCCCTCAATTTTGCCTGCATTGTGGGGCCTCAAACGCAGATCTTCATGCTGGTTGGCAAGTGTCATACCCAATAATCCATCCCCTCAGCACTCCCTCCCCTCCAATGTTGAGGGTCCAGGCCAGCCTGGGGTATCTATGGTTTCCCAGACTAATATCTCAACAGGAAATCTGTGTGAGCCTCCTGAGTCTTGGCATCTCATGCCCCCACCTCCTAGGCCACAGTTTCTTTGGTCCCACATTCTTGTCTTCCACTCCTCTGGATCCATCCCAAGGCTTCTCTCCCGTGCCTAGCCCAGGAAGCACTCATTGTGTGTGTACGCTGTATGAATGACTGTAGAGCCACCTTCCTCCCCAGTTGTCTCTGGTCCTCTCCTGGGGCTGTAAGGTCTCTACCATCGGGCTCCCAACCCCAGCATCTGCAACTGTGGTAACCTTCAGGTGCTAGGCATGCGTGTCAGGTGGGAGCGTGGCACAGATGATGATTTACATGTCCCACTCACCTCAAGGAATGGCGGTAACTTGGGAGGCTTGAAGAAGTCTCCTCTTGCAAGGGAGCTCCTACGAGTGGGGCGCCAGTAAAGGATCAGACCCAGAGGGTCAGGGGCCCTAGGACCTGATGGCCTAGGTCCTTACTGGCCAAACACCGATCAGCCTCCTAGGAGAAAGATGCAGGATTGTCATCAAAAAAGTGTATTCTGGCAAGTGTTTTTCTGAGTCAGAACAGTAATCTACCTGTGTGATGATTCTATTTGTGCGTTCCTTACAATTATGAGGCCTTATATATTTTGAGAGGTATCGTGGGCCAGCAAGATGACTTGGTGGATGGAGGCTTCTGCTGCCAAGCCTGAACACCAGGGCTGAAGTCCAGCACTCAAACTGGGAGCCCTAGCCATGTGCCCCAGGCCATGCCAGTGAGGGTGGGCAGGCTCACAAACACACACACACACACACACACACACACACACACAGGTGTGAGCTTGTGACCCAAACACATGTTCTCTTGAACCTCATGGTTGAGAAAGCATGAAGCCGTGTCCTGGGAACTCTCCCTACACTGTTTTGGGTGTACAGGGGACCCTGCACTTCCCATCTTTCCCAGGGTGATCAGCAGTTACTTAAGGAGCCCCATCACCTGCCGCCCAGTCCCCCATCCCCCAGAGAATGACATGCTCACACCACTCCATGATACTTTTCTTTCTTTTGTCACCTGATCTAAACAGGGGATCCCACTTTTCATGCCCTCTGTAGCTGGGATTTAGGAAAAGATTTGCACCGCCCATGCAACACTGCTTCAGGTCCAGCCCGGGGCTTCAAGGTCTTTAACTTCCCACATTCCTACAAGGCTACAGGACAGAAGAGGAGCCGAGTGTCCAACTCACCTCACGAAATAGGGGGAGCAACGTGGGGGCCTTGGAGATTGCTCCAACAGGGGAGCTCCAACGGTGTGGGGAGGGGTGAAGTGGACTTGACCCAGAGGGTCAGTGGTCCTGAGACCTGATGCCCTAGGTCCCTACTGGCTGGGCACACCAGTGAGCCTCCTAGGAGCAAAGATGAGGGACTGTCATTAAGAATGGATACTGGGGGTGCTTGAGTGGTTCCCCGGATACAGTTTTTTGCTCCCAGTCCCCGATCCTCAGAACCCACATGTTCTCATGACTGGTACACGTTCTCCTCAGACCCGCCCACACGTGTGATGGCCTACAATTGCTGGGTGTACAATTCACACAACCCATGTCATACAAATATGTTTAATAACAGCGTTTGTATGGTCAGTAGGGAATGAATTTGGTTGGCCAAGTGCTAGCATAGCATACAGGAAGCCATGGGTGCCCCCTCCCCTCAGCACCAAAAGCCACCTGGTAGCTCAGGCCTGTGATCCTGTATTCCCCAAGCTGGAGGCTGCTGGCATTCCAGTTCACAGACCTCCTTAGTGACACAGTGAGAGAGTGGCCATCCCAAGTCTTTCTGTGGGACCATGAAGTGCCTTTAAAAGCTCTCCTTCACTAAGTCCCCTTACTCGGTGCCATGTCATTATCTGTACACGCCTGTGTGTCTCCTGTAGAGTGCAGGGACACACACTCGCCTGTGAGAAAGGTGCAACAGTGTCTCTTGCAACTATTTGCAGAAAGCAGGCATTGGAGGATGTGGTACTAGCCCACCCCAGTTTTGGTCCACCCCTAGTTTTGGTCCACAGCCTTGTCATCATTTTGCCCTGCCAGCCAGCTGCCCTCTGAGCTTCCAGACTGCCTGTATTGTCTCTGCCTCCCAGGTGGCCACAGAAACCTGCAGGGTATGACCTACCCAACTCCCTCAATTTTGCCTGCATTGTGGGGCCTCAAACGCAGATCTTCATGCTGGTTGGCAAGTGTCATACCCAATAATCCATCCCCTCAGCACTCCCTCCCCTCCAATGTTGAGGGTCCAGGCCAGCCTGGGGTATCTCTGGTTTCCCAGACTAATATCTCAACAGGAAATCTGTGTGAGCCTCCTGAGTCTTGGCATCTCATGCCCCCACCTCCTAGGCCACAGTTTCTTTGGTCCCACATTCTTGTCTTCCACTCCTCTGGATCCATCCCAAGGCTTCTCTCCCGTGCCTAGCCCAGGAAGCACTCATTGTGTGTGTACGCTGTATGAATGACTGTAGAGCCACCTTCCTCCCCAGTTGTCTCTGGTCCTCTCCTGGGGCTGTAAGGTCTCTACCATCGGGCTCCCAACCCCAGCATCTGCAACTGTGGTAACCTTCAGGTGCTAGGCATGCGTGTCAGGTGGGAGCGTGGCACAGATGATGATTTACATGTCCCACTCACCTCAAGGAATGGCGGTAACTTGGGAGGCTTGAAGAAGTCTCCTCTTGCAAGGGAGCTCCTACGAGTGGGGCGCCAGTAAAGGATCAGACCCAGAGGGTCAGGGGCCCTAGGACCTGATGGCCTAGGTCCTTACTGGCCAAACACCGATCAGCCTCCTAGGAGAAAGATGCAGGATTGTCATCAAAAAAGTGTATTCTGGCAAGTGTTTTTCTGAGTCAGAACAGTAATCTACCTGTGTGATGATTCTATTTGTGCGTTCCTTACAATTATGAGGCCTTATATATTTTGAGAGGTATCGTGGGCCAGCAAGATGACTTGGTGGATGGAGGCTTCTGCTGCCAAGCCTGAACACCAGGGCTGAAGTCCAGCACTCAAACTGGGAGCCCTAGCCATGTGCCCCAGGCCATGCCAGTGAGGGTGGGCAGGCTCACAAACACACACACACACACACACACACACACACACACACAGGTGTGAGCTTGTGACCCAAACACATGTTCTCTTGAACCTCATGGTTGAGAAAGCATGAAGCCGTGTCCTGGGAACTCTCCCTACACTGTTTTGGGTGTACAGGGGACCCTGCACTTCCCATCTTTCCCAGGGTGATCAGCAGTTACTTAAGGAGCCCCATCACCTGCCGCCCAGTCCCCCATCCCCCAGAGAATGACATGCTCACACCACTCCATGATACTTTTCTTTCTTTTGTCACCTGATCTAAACAGGGGATCCCACTTTTCATGCCCTCTGTAGCTGGGATTTAGGAAAAGATTTGCACCGCCCATGCAACACTGCTTCAGGTCCAACCCGGGGCTTCAAGGTCTTTAACTTCCCACATTCCTACAAGGCTACAGGACAGAAGAGGAGCCGAGTGTCCAACTCACCTCACGAAATAGGGGGAGCAACGTGGGGGCCTTGGAGATTGCTCCAACAGGGGAGCTCCAACGGTGTAGGGAGGGGTGAAGTGGACTTGACCCAGAGATTCAGTGGTCCTGGGACTTTATGTAGTAGGTCAGTACTGTCCAACCAATGTTGTGCGTCCTAGGAGCAACGATGAGGGAGTGTCAGTTTGTGTATTTATTGACTACTGTGTGAGCCCTTTGCAGAACAAAGGTTTTCCTTCTAATTCTAGGCTGGTGTGACCTAGTCCAGAATCCTCAGGACCCACATGTGCAGAAGAGAACTGACTTCCACACATTTTCCTCAGACCTGCCCACACGTGTGATGGCCTACAATTGCTGGGTGTACAATTCACACAACCCATGTCATACAAATATGTTTAATAACAGCGTTTGTATGGTCAGTAGGGAATGAATTTGGTTGGCCAAGTGCTAGCATAGCATACAGGAAGCCATGGGTGCCCCCTCCCCTCAGCACCAAAAGCCACCTGGTAGCTCAGGCCTGTGATCCTGTATTCCCCAAGCTGGAGGCTGCTGGCATTCCAGTTCACAGACCTCCTTAGTGACACAGTGAGAGAGTGGCCATCCCAAGTCTTTCTGTGGGACCATGAAGTGCCTTTAAAAGCTCTCCTTCACTAAGTCCCCTTACTCGGTGCCATGTCATTATCTGTACACGCCTGTGTGTCTCCTGTAGAGTGCAGGGACACACACTCGCCTGTGAGAAAGGTGCAACAGTGTCTCTTGCAACTATTTGCAGAAAGCAGGCATTGGAGGATGTGGTACTAGCCCACCCCAGTTTTGGTCCACCCCTAGTTTTGGTCCACAGCCTTGTCATCATTTTGCCCTGCCAGCCAGCTGCCCTCTGAGCTTCCAGACTGCCTGTATTGTCTCTGCCTCCCAGGTGGCCACAGAAACCTGCAGGGTATGACCTACCGAACTCCCTCAATTTTGCCTGCATTGTGGGGCCTCAAACGCAGATCTTCATGCTGGTTGGCAAGTGTCATACCCAATAATCCATCCCCTCAGCACTCCCTCCCCTCCAATGTTGAGGGTCCAGGCCAGCCTGGGGTACCTATGGTTTCCCAGACTAATATCTCAACAGGAAATCTGTGTGAGCCTCCTGAGTCTTGGCATCTCATGCCCCCACCTCCTAGGCCACAGTTTCTTTGGTCCCACATTCTTGTCTTCCACTCCTCTGGATCCATCCCAAGGCTTCTCTCCCGTGCCTAGCCCAGGAAGCACTCATTGTGTGTGTAGGCTGTATGAATGACTGTAGAGCCACCTTCCTCCCCAGTTGTCTCTGGTCCTCTCCTGGGGCTGTAAGGTCTCTACCATCGGGCTCCCAACCCCAGCATCTGCAACTGTGGTAACCTTCAGGTGCTAGGCATGCGTGTCAGGTGGGAGCGTGGCACAGATGATGATTTACATGTCCCACTCACCTCAAGGAATGGCGGTAACTTGGGAGGCTTGAAGAAGTCTCCTCTTGCAAGGGTGCTCCTACGAGTGGGGCGCCAGTAAAGGATCAGACCCAGAGGGTCAGGGGCCCTAGGACCTGATGGCCTAGGTCCTTACTGGCCAAACACCGATCAGCCTCCTAGGAGAAAGATGCAGGATTGTCATCAAAAAAGTGTATTCTGGCAAGTGTTTTTCTGAGTCAGAACAGTAATCTACCTGTGTGATGATTCTATTTGTGCGTTCCTTACAATTATGAGGCCTTATATATTTTGAGAGGTATCGTGGGCCAGCAAGATGACTTGGTGGATGGAGGCTTCTGCTGCCAAGCCTGAACACCAGGGCTGAAGTCCAGCACTCAAACTGGGAGCCCTAGCCATGTGCCCCAGGCCATGCCAGTGAGGGTGGGCAGGCTCACAAACACACACACACACACACACACACACACACACACACACACACAGGTGTGAGCTTGTGACCCAAACACATGTTCTCTTGAACCTCATGGTTGAGAAAGCATGAAGCCGTGTCCTGGGAACTCTCCCTACACTGTTTTGGGTGTACAGGGGACCCTGCACTTCCCATCTTTCCCAGGGTGATCAGCAGTTACTTAAGGAGCCCCATCACCTGCCGCCCAGTCCCCCATCCCCCAGAGAATGACATGCTCACACCACTCCATGATACTTTTCTTTCTTTTGTCACCTGATCTAAACAGGGGATCCCACTTTTCATGCCCTCTGTAGCTGGGATTTAGGAAAAGATTTGCACCGCCCATGCAACACTGCTTCAGGTCCAGCCCGGGGCTTCAAGGTCTTTAACTTCCCACATTCCTACAAGGCTACAGGACAGAAGAGGAGCCGAGTGTCCAACTCACCTCACGAAATAGGGGGAGCAACGTGGGGGCCTTGGAGATTGCTCCAACAGGGGAGCTCCAACGGTGTGGGGAGGGGTGAAGTGGACTTGACCCAGAGGGTCAGTGGTCCTGAGACCTGATGCCCTAGGTCCCTACTGGCTGGGCACACCAGTGAGCCTCCTAGGAGCAAAGATGAGGGACTGTCATTAAGAATGGATACTGGGGGTGCTTGAGTGGTTCCCCGGATACAGTTTTTTGCTCCCAGTCCCCGATCCTCAGAACCCACATGTTCTCATGACTGGTACACGTTCTCCTCAGACCCGCCCACACGTGTGATGTCCTACAATTGCTGGGTGTACAATTCACACAACCCATGTCATACAAATATGTTTAATAACAGCGTTTGTATGGTCAGTAGGGAATGAATTTGGTTGGCCAAGTGCTAGCATAGCATACAGGAAGCCATGGGTGCCCCCTCCCCTCAGCACCAAAAGCCACCTGGTAGCTCAGGCCTGTGATCCTGTATTCCCCAAGCTGGAGGCTGCTGGCATTCCAGTTCACAGACCTCCTTAGTGACACAGTGAGAGAGTGGCCATCCCAAGTCTTTCTGTGGGACCATGAAGTGCCTTTAAAAGCTCTCCTTCACTAAGTCCCCTTACTCGGTGCCATGTCATTATCTGTACACGCCTGTGTGTCTCCTGTAGAGTGCAGGGACACACACTCGCCTGTGAGAAAGGTGCAACAGTGTCTCTTGCAACTATTTGCAGAAAGCAGGCATTGGAGGATGTGGTACTAGCCCACCCCAGTTTTGGTCCACCCCTAGTTTTGGTCCACAGCCTTGTCATCATTTTGCCCTGCCAGCCAGCTGCCCTCTGAGCTTCCAGACTGCCTGTATTGTCTCTGCCTCCCAGGTGGCCACAGAAACCTGCAGGGTATGACCTACCCAACTCCCTCAATTTTGCCTGCATTGTGGGGCCTCAAACGCAGATCTTCATGCTGGTTGGCAAGTGTCATACCCAATAATCCATCCCCTCAGCACTCCCTCCCCTCCAATGTTGAGGGTCCAGGCCAGCCTGGGGTATCTATGGTTTCCCAGACTAATATCTCAACAGGAAATCTGTGTGAGCCTCCTGAGTCTTGGCATCTCATGCCCCCACCTCCTAGGCCACAGTTTCTTTGGTCCCACATTCTTGTCTTCCACTCCTCTGGATCCATCCCAAGGCTTCTCTCCCGTGCCTAGCCCAGGAAGCACTCATTGTGTGTGTAGGCTGTATGAATGACTGTAGAACCACCTTCCTCCCCAGTTGTCTCTGGTCCTCTCCTGGGGCTGTAAGGTCTCTACCATCGGGCTCCCAACCCCAGCATCTGCAACTGTGGTAACCTTCAGGTGCTAGGCATGCGTGTCAGGTGGGAGCGTGGCACAGATGATGATTTACATGTCCCACTCACCTCAAGGAATGGCGGTAACTTGGGAGGCTTGAAGAAGTCTCCTCTTGCAAGGGAGCTCCTACGAGTGGGGCGCCAGTAAAGGATCAGACCCAGAGGGTCAGGGGCCCTAGGACCTGATGGCCTAGGTCCTTACTGGCCAAACACCGATCAGCCTCCTAGGAGAAAGATGCAGGATTGTCATCAAAAAAGTGTATTCTGGCAAGTGTTTTTCTGAGTCAGAACAGTAATCTACCTGTGTGATGATTCTATTTGTGCGTTCCTTACAATTATGAGGCCTTATATATTTTGAGAGGTATCGTGGGCCAGCAAGATGACTTGGTGGATGGAGGCTTCTGCTGCCAAGCCTGAACACCAGGGCTGAAGTCCAGCACTCAAACTGGGAGCCCTAGCCATGTGCCCCAGGCCATGCCAGTGAGGGTGGGCAGGCTCACAAACACACACACACACACACACACACACACACAGGTGTGAGCTTGTGACCCAAACACATGTTCTCTTGAACCTCATGGTTGAGAAAGCATGAAGCCGTGTCCTGGGAACTCTCCCTACACTGTTTTGGGTGCACAGGGGACCCTGCACTTCCCATCTTTCCCAGGGTGATCAGCAGTTACTTAAGGAGCCCCATCACCTGCCGCCCAGTCCCCCATCCCCCAGAGAATGACATGCTCACACCACTCCATGATACTTTTCTTTCTTTTGTCACCTGATCTAAACAGGGGATCCCACTTTTCATGCCCTCTGTAGCTGGGATTTAGGAAAAGATTTGCACCGCCCATGCAACACTGCTTCAGGTCCAACCCGGGGCTTCAAGGTCTTTAACTTCCCACATTCCTACAAGGCTACAGGACAGAAGAGGAGCCGAGTGTCCAACTCACCTCACGAAATAGGGGGAGCAACGTGGGGGCCTTGGAGATTGCTCCAACAGGGGAGCTCCAACGGTGTGGGGAGGGGTGAAGTGGACTTGACCCAGAGATTCAGTGGTCCTGGGACTTTATGTAGTAGGTCAGTATGTCCAACCAATGTTGTGCGTCCTAGGAGCAACGATGAGGGAGTGTCAGTTTGTGTATTTATTGACTCTGTTTGAGCCCTTTGCAGAACAAAGGTTTTTCCTTCTAATTCTAGGCTGGTGTGACCTATCCAGAATCTCAGGACCCACATTGCAGAAGAGAACTGACTTCCACACATTTTCCTCAGACCTGCCCACACGTGTGATGGCCTACAATTGCTGGGTGTACAATTCACACAACCCATGTCATACAAATATGTTTAATAACAGCGTTTGTATGGTCAGTAGGGAATGAATTTGGTTGGCCAAGTGCTAGCATAGCATACAGGAAGCCATGGGTGCCCCCTCCCCTCAGCACCAAAAGCCACCTGGTAGCTCAGGCCTGTGATCCTGTATTCCCCAAGCTGGAGGCTGCTGGCATTCCAGTTCACAGACCTCCTTAGTGACACAGTGAGAGAGTGGCCATCCCAAGTCTTTCTGTGGGACCATGAAGTGCCTTTAAAAGCTCTCCTTCACTAAGTCCCCTTACTCGGTGCCATGTCATTATCTGTACACGCCTGTGTGTCTCCTGTAGAGTGCAGGGACACACACTCGCCTGTGAGAAAGGTGCAACAGTGTCTCTTGCAACTATTTGCAGAAAGCAGGCATTGGAGGATGTGGTACTAGCCCACCCCAGTTTTGGTCCACCCCTAGTTTTGGTCCACAGCCTTGTCATCATTTTGCCCTGCCAGCCAGCTGCCCTCTGAGCTTCCAGACTGCCTGTATTGTCTCTGCCTCCCAGGTGGCCACAGAAACCTGCAGGGTATGACCTACCCAACTCCCTCAATTTTGCCTGCATTGTGGGGCCTCAAACGCAGATCTTCATGCTGGTTGGCAAGTGTCATACCCAATAATCCATCCCCTCAGCACTCCCTCCCCTCCAATGTTGAGGGTCCAGGCCAGCCTGGGGTATCTCTGGTTTCCCAGACTAATATCTCAACAGGAAATCTGTGTGAGCCTCCTGAGTCTTGGCATCTCATGCCCCCACCTCCTAGGCCACAGTTTCTTTGGTCCCACATTCTTGTCTTCCACTCCTCTGGATCCATCCCAAGGCTTCTCTCCCGTGCCTAGCCCAGGAAGCACTCATTGTGTGTGTAGACTGTGTGAGTGTAAAATCACCTTTCTTCCAATCTTCTGTGGTCTTCTCCCGAGATTGTAAGGTCCCTACCATCCTACCTCTATCATGTGCATCTGTGGTATGCTATAGGTGTCTATGCATGAGTTAGGGCTTTTGGACATGGTACAGAAGATAATTCAAATATCTCACTCACCGCTCGGAATTGGGGGAATAACTTCAGAGGCTTGTGGAAGTCTCCTCCTGCAAGTGATCTCCAATAGGTGTGGGGCCAGTACTGGACTTGACCCAGAGGGTCAGATGTCCTAGGACCTGATGGCCTAGGTCCTTATTGGCCGGGTGTACCTATGAGCCTCTTAGGAGAAAGATTCATGATTGTCATCCAGGAAATAAATTGTGTCAATAATATTTGTCAGTGAATTATAATTTTTCTGTGTCCTTCTTTAATATAGATTCTGGTCATTAAATCCCTTGTTGTTCTATGTTTATCACTCCCCATTTTTTGTGACCTTTACCATTCTTTCGTTGTGTATTAGAATTCATTTTCTCCCCACCTCTCCAGAACACACAAAATCAGTGTAAATATTTTGAATAGTAAAAGATGTTCTGACTAGAACAAAGTCTCTGTAAAGAACACTGGTTAGCCTATGTTAAAGCCTTTTTCCTCTCAATGCATTCATATATCTCATATGTAGTTGTTTTTAATATTGTCCCTCTCAAAGATGGAGGCATTTTGATCATTAGTTGAATCCATTTTGTTTGTATCATGTGTTTTGTAATCTATCATCGCTCCTCATGTCCATGAAATGCCATTCAATGTTGTCCATTGCAATCTGAGCTCATTTTCATACCCTCTTTTTTAATTCTGAACACCTGTCATGTACCACTAATGGATAACTGTGTTTGTCCTCATTGACAAATTTTTTTGAGTCAGGTCTCTTTAGTGAATGTACTTTAGGCTAGATGCATAAAAACTTCTAGATATTCTCCCTTCTGTACTATCTCACCATAGAAGCCTTGGTTTACAATTCTCTCTCAGCTCTTACATGTGTTTTGGGGACTTAAACTCTGGTTCCTCAAGCTCGTTGTGAAAGGACTTTTCATGCTTCAAGCCATCTCTCCCATATTCTCCATCCTGTGTGTTTGGAAGTCCAGGGTAGTCTGAAACATCCTCTATTTTCCAGGCTTTCCTGGAGTTAGAACAGCTTCTGCCTGCAGCCACTGAGTGTTAAAATTCTACCACTCTATCACACACACCCTTTGAACCCCCTTTTGATAAAACCTTGGACTTCCCTACCTGTCAGGTGACCCTCTCTTTGTGTTGCATTTCCCATGTGCCTTTTATCTCCTCTCCTGAAGCTCTAAGGTCTTTACCTCCCACTAATTATTCTTTCAGGTGTTTATGAAAGTTCATGCAGGGACCTAGATACATGTTGTCAAGTGTGTAACTCACCTCAAGGTATAGGTGATGGTAACTTGGAGGCTCTGGAGAAAACCACTGCAGAGGAGATCTTCTTGGTGTGGGTCCAGTAAAGGACTTGGCCACAAGGGCCAGAGGCCCTGGAACCTGATGATATTGGTCCCTACTGTCCACACACAACAACAAGCCTCCTAGGAACAAATATTGGAAAAATTCATTAAGAATCTAAATATGTCACATCACCCATACTTTAAAAAGTATTTTATAACTTTATGTGTATGCATATGTATGTATACACACATGCCACAGTACATATTTGGAGGTCAGAAAAAATCTTGCAAAAGTCAGTCCTCTCCTCTGACCACTTGCATCTAGGGACTCAAACTTAGGTCATCAGGCTTGGCAGCATTCATCACTACTCACTGAGACATCTCTCTGCTCCTGTTGTCCACTTTGTGTAGTGTTTGTTTACTCTGTATGAAACCTTGGTTTCTTCTCTGTCCTGTGTATATGCATAGGTGTCTCTATACACCCTCATTTTCATGCATGTTGTGATCAGAGTAGGACATTACATGTCATACTTTATTACTTTATCCCCTATTTTTTTGTATTTTTTGAGACAGGGTTTCTCTATATAGCTTTGTAGACCAGCCTGGCCTCAAACTCACAGAGATTCGCCTACCTTTGTCTTCCAAGTTCTGTGGCTAAAGGTGTGTGTCACTACTGCTCGGCTATGCCCTATTATTTTTAAGAGGCCCTCTCACTAAATCTGAAGCTATTTTGCCTATGCCTGTTTTTGTTCCTCTTTGCTTTATTTCCAGACATGTGTGCCCATACCTAGATTTTACATGGGCATTGGAGATTTGATCTCATGTCCTCTTGTTTATGTTATAAATTCTCTTTTTGCATGAGCCATTTTCCCAGCCACCAACCTTGGTTTTACTAGCATCATATGACTATTATGAGGGGCCCATTTCCTCCCAGCACTCTTGGAACTATTAGTTGTGTCTGATTTCCAAGGTTATTTTCTGCTTGTGTGTTGTCAGCTTCTCCCTGCAATTTATGTAAATCTTTTAAGTCATATAGTCCTTACAACAAGACTATGTTTTAGTTGTCTTTACACTTTGCATCTTATAGATTCTAGGTTAAGTTAGTTGATCCCACTGTAACAATGAGTGCTGACCTATGTGCCTGGGGAAGGATGGATTTTCTTGGTTGATGGAATTGCCTGTACAAAGGTAGATATAAGAAGGTATGGAGCCTCTCTTGATAACTTGTTTCAGGTGTCATTGGACAAAAGTGACGTATGTATGAAAACTATATTTATAATTATGTGTTTTGTTTTGTATGGGTGCAAATCAGTTCTTGGGAGTTACATATCAGAAGATGAAAATTTGAAGGTTGTTGTCCACTATAGGTCAGCCTACATTACATGATATCCTATCTCAAAAAATAAGAAATAATACAACATCTGGGTGGTGATGGCACACACCTTTAATCCCAGCATTCAGGAGGCAGAAGCAGGCATATCTCTGTAACTCTGAGGCTAGCCTGGTCTACAGAGTGAGTTCCAGGACAGAGAAACTGTCTCAAAAACCAAACTAACTAACTAAATAAATAAATAAAATTGACTAGATATAGTGCCCTCATGGTAGTTCTGGCTTAGTCAACACTACAGTCATTTCAAGGACTCTCCAGCAGCTGTAGAAGACGATTATAGGCATAACTAATGATCTGTGGCATTTACAGTCTAAACAGCCTGCTATAGTCTTCTAAAGCAATACTCCTGTACAAGACAGGTCAAGTAAACACTACATGACCCCAGAGCAATTTTCATCAGGGCTACAGGATGATTCTACTTCCCCCACCCCAGTCTTCCAGAAGGCTTTTTTTTTTGTTCAAACTCAATCTGTCATTTGCATTATGGACTGTGTCATGATTGCTATAATACCCTTGCAATACACACACTTGTTTGGCTAAGATTTTAGTGTTTCATGTAGCCCAGGATGGTCCTAGCCTGATTGTGTACTTGATGACCTCCTCCCTAGTCTGTCTTTGCCTCCCACATGTTGATTACAAATGTGGATACCTCACTAGACTTGGCTAATGTTGAGGCAGTAGGCTGCTACCATCCTTTTATCCCATACTTTTCCAATGTTAGGCCCACAAATGTTTTGCTATATTTAATTTTTATAAGTATGGCAGTCCTTAGGTGGTAATATGAAGAGTAGACTATGGGTTGGAGTCAGGGCACAGAACCATAAGCTTATGAATCTCAAGACTTAAGATAGTTCAGACTAGCTCATATTTTGAATTTGGTGTTCCAGGCCAACTAGCAAACAGCAAACCAGTGACTTCTCACCTACTCACCATTTCATTTTTTTTTCCTTTTCTCCTCTATCCTTCCTCTTTCCCTTTTTCTGAAACTGTAGCTCAAAGCTCTCATTAAATGGGCTATATACCCCAGAATGATCTACAACTCTTGGCTCACTTGCTTCCAAGTCAATCAATTCCTAGTACTGGGATTAATGACATAGCCATCATACCAGGCTCCCTACTCATGATATTCGAGTAAGACAAAAGAATCAAACCTAGGTGATTTTTAAAATATATATTACATGGATGTGTAGTGTTCAGGAATATAAACTAGGAGAGCATTCTGAACACAGTGCTTACTTTTGGAGCATAAAGACTGAAATTAGGTGTGATAGTCAAAGGGAAGGCTCTCTGAAAGAGTCTGCAAGGGCAGTAGAAGATGAAGTCTGAGTTCATGGCTGCCTGGTCTTCTAATGGGACCCTTGTTTGTCACCCCAAACGACACTACTAAAATCTTCCAGCCAGTTCTCACCCATGTGGGACCAACCCAGTCTTTCCTACCGGAAGTTGAGGGGGTGGAGCCGGCGGAAGTTCTAGCTCCATCAGGCGCAAGAGGCCAATGCAGAATTTCCGCTCGGGGAGGGGACACTTCCGGTTAGTGTGCCCAGCCCCAACTCTACGGGTGCCCAGTGGGGGCCCAAGCACAGTGAGCATGCGGGCTGTCCCTGCGTCCCGCGCGCAGTGGGCGTTACTAACGGACAACTCCTGACTCTAGGAGCTCAAATACTGTGATGCTTCGGGAATTGTGGACCCTCTTGCCCGATATTGACTAATCCCCTCGTACCCAGCCCCTGGCGATGGTGAAGGGACGGGGATGTGAATCTAAAGTAGCTTGAACTGTGGCTCTAGCTAAGGACCGCGCGAAGTATTTTGGAGAATGTCTTTCCAGCTCACCTCAGTTAAAAAAAAAAAACAAAAAAACCCAAAAAAACAAAAACAAACAAAAAACAAAAAACTATCCGGAGCGGACGCACAGATTCGCTGACTTGACAGTCGAGTAATATCGATCTGAAAAAAAAAGACAGTTGGTGCAAGGTTAATTTGAACCAAATCTCCTAGGAGCCAAGACTAAAGGATCAGAGCTCACCAAAGGAGATTACAGTCCGGGGTACGAGTTCCTGAGAACCTGCTGTTAATACGCCAGCGTATTTAATGTCACTTGGAACCTGCAAATTGGGTACATCGATCTTCTCCCCAAATGAAGGACCGTGGCACAGGTTAAGTAAAACTTCATCCTTATTCACCAACGTGCGCGCGTGCGTGTGCGTGAATATAATAAAAATGTTTAAACCTTGAGTAAAACTGACATTATTTGAGGACTCACTATTATAATGGTGCTAGAAGTATAAGGTGTTTTTCCCCCTCATTTATTTTGAGACGAGGTCCTGCTGTGACAGGCCCTACACTTGTACTGCACCTTTCTTTGCCTCACAATGCTGCAATTACAAGCCTGAGACACCATGCCAGTTTCTTTCTTTTCTTTCTTTTTTTTTTTTTTTTTTTTTTTTTTGGTTTTACGAGTCAGGGTTTCTCTATTGTTTTGGAGGCTGTCGGTCCAGCCTGGCCTCGAACTCACAGAGATCCGTCTGCCTCTGCCTCCCGAGTGCTGGGATTAAAGACATGCGCCACCACCGCCCGGCCCATGCCAGTTTCTTTAGGGGATTGTTTTTTTGTTTGTTTTAATTTTTGTTTTTTTGTTTTTTGCAGACTAGATGCCCTTTAGCCCAGTTAGCCTTAAACTTAGTATGCAGCAGATGCTAGCCTTGAAACCCCTCATCTTTCAACCTATTTAGGTGCTGGGAATACAGGGTTGTGCTACCATGCCTGGCTAAGTTTTCATGTTAAAGCTTTGTCAGAAGCTTTGTGTTGCTACATGAAAAGTTTGTTATTTTCCTTTTTTAAACAACAAGCTTGTAATGGCATGTCCTTTGCCTCTTGTACTGACATTAAAACCTCAAAGCTGCTAGGGTAGAAACTGGAACAATCCTATCTTTCCAGCAGTTAACTGTGGAAATCACCATGTATGATGTCTTGGTTAACTCAAGGAATAGCAAGAACCAGTTTCAGTGAGGATTCCGTAGTTATTTACTTTTGGGAAATGATAGCCAGGTATAGCGGTATACTTTTGTAATTCTAGCACTTGGGAGATTGAGGCAGAAGGATCACTGATTTAGAGGTTAACCTGGATTACACTGTGTATTTTAGACCAGCCTGGGCTGTAGAGTATAGAGTGATACCCTGTGTCAGAAAATTGAAGGGAAGAAAAAAAAAACCACAATAGAAGTGGTGGGGATGTAGCTCAATGGTAGATTGCATGCCTAGGTTAGGCAGAGGCCCTGGGTTGGACCCCCAGGATCACCAAATCAGAAGGAGGAAGAGAGAGCAAAAGTAGTTGTGCTCACCTGTCAAGTCAAGCTGAATCTGAGCTAACTGTCACTGTGTAGGTAAGGATCTACCTAGTGAGGGTTCTAATCCTGATGACATCATAAGCGTTGCTTAGTAGCAAGTAAACAAAATTTTTACTGGCTAGCCTGCATGCCATCATGATGCTTGAAATACAGTTTAACTTACCTTCCTGTGCCACAAATTACACCTAAATAAATACTTATTTACTTGAGTTTCCAAAAGTCCAAAAATTAGTGTGATTTTTTTTATTTATTTAAGACAGAGGTGAGAGGGACATAATATCTACCATTGTGTCTTTTGAACCCATCTTAAAATCACATAGTATTCATTCTGTGACAGGGATCACACAGACCAATCTCAACAGAGGGAGAGGGAACTTGGCAATGGTATGACAGCCAAAAGTGACTATTGGTAGGAACCATCTTGAAGGATAGCTACTGCCATTTTCCAAACTCTGATTTGAAATCACACCCACCCCTCTTCTCCCAAGTTTGTTGGCTCTCTGTATCTTTTCAGAACTGACTGATCATTTCATTAGCATATTCATTGATCGGGTTGTTTAAATTAATTGTAGATATTGTGGATATAAATCCCAAGTCAGATATGTAGTCAGCAAAGATTTTCTCCCATTCTGAAGGATGTCTTGATTCCGTTGTTGCTTTTAGTTTTCTGCAGTGATGTTAATTGTTAGCAGTATTTCTGAGTGATTGGCGTTCTTTTCAGAAAGTCCTGGTCCATGTCTTATCATGTGTATCCTAGTTGATAGTTTCAGAGTTAGTCTTAATCGGGCCCTCAGGTCCACTTTGAGTAGGGAAAGAAGATATAGATATAGTTTCATTTGTCTTCATGTGCAGAGCTAGTTTCCCCAACATTGCTGAAAGAGTTTTTTCCCCAGTGTATATTCAGGCATCTTTTACAAAAACCAGTTGACTATATAGGTTTAAATTCATGTCTCTAGTCTAGTCAGTTACCTAACTGTTTTGTGCAGATGCCATGCTGTTTTGTTACTAGGACTTAGTAAGATACCTTAAAATATGGCCATACCTCCAGCATTGGTCTTTTTGCTCAGTGTTGCTTTGGCATGTAGGGTGATTTTAATTTTATTTATTTGTTGATTTGATTGATTGATTGTCTCATATAGTCCATGCTAGTCTGGAACCTGCTGAGTAGGCAAGGATGACTTAGAGCTCCATATCCTCCTGCTTCTGCCTCCTGAATGCTATGATTTTAGGAGTGCACCACCTATCTGGTTTTATGTGATACCAGAGATTGAACCCCAGGTTTCCTGCATACTAGACAGACACTATACCAAGTCACATCCCTGGCACTCTCTTCCTTGTTTTTGAGACAGCATCTCATAGTGTAGACAACGCTAGCCTGAAATCCCTTTTTAGCCATAGTTGGTCTTGAACTCAACAGTCCTCAGGCCCCAGCCTCCTAAGTGCCACCACATTTGACCTTTAACTATTTTTAGAGATGATATCTGGTTATGTTGCTCAGGCTAGTTTTAAATCCCCGAGTGCAAGTGATCCCCCTGACTCAGCCTGCTGAGTATCTGGGACTACAGTACAATGGTACCTCGCCCAGCTTTTTAATAATTGAAGTGACAGCTTAAAAGAAGCTTCCTCAGTTGGGTTTGTCTGCTATGCTTGCTCCTCTGTCTCTTTTTTATGGTATTTCTGCATACTAGTTCATTGCAGGCAGGGGGTATGGTAGTGGTATTATTGAAACAGAGTCTTAATCATATTTCAAGGTGGCTCAAACCTGAAATTCTAGCTTGATGTCATACCTCAGGCCTGAAAATCCAGCACTTAGAAGGCTGAGACAAAAAGAGTTCATTATAGTTGAGCCACAGCCTATGGCTTACATAGTAACTTCTATCCATTCTGGCCTAAGTCTATGTATAAGACATCACCTCAAAATAACAACAGAAAAATAAACAAAATAACAAATTAATGAATTCATGAACTTCTTGATTCAGCCTTCCACATGCTGGTGTTACAGGCAGATACTAAGCTACATGCTCAGATAACTTATTAACAACTCCCCTTGTGTTCTATTTATTTATTTATTTATTTATTTATTTATTTATTTATTTATTTATTTATTTATTTATTATTTTTAGGTATCCTTGGATGGCCTGGAATTCACCACATTGAACAGCCTGGCTTTGGACTCATTGGCAGTCATATTGCCTCAGCTTCCAGAGTGCTGGGATTATAGGCATGTGCCACCATGCACAGCTCTGTTCTGTATTTTGAGACAGGGTCTCATTTTCTAATCCCACCGAGTTACAACAGCAAGCCTCCTGCCCTGGCCTCCAGAGTGCTGGGTTTTCAGGTGTATATAACCACACCCAACTTACTTTCTGTATCTTAGGATGTTTTGGCATTTCTCAAGGCTTGAAGGTTTAGGGGAGACTTAATGCTTTTAGGGTAGGTTATTGTTTGGGGTCACAAAAAAAAACCCTCCTGCTCTCTACTAGGGGCGTGGCTATCCTAAACAAACTAACCAATCTTGAGTCTGCATTCCCAACAACTTCCTGACTTAAATCTCATACTCAAACCAGTTTTTCTCTTCCCCTAACTCAACCAGGGCCAGATATCAGGCAACTAGCCGCAACTTCTAGACCCAAAGCCACTGAACTATTCCAGTTTGCCAGTGCTAAGCAGCTTGTTGTGCCCAAGTTGCCTTTTCCTCAGCAATGCCAGCAAAGACTCTACCTCAGACTGTCCCCCATATTCTACTTTGTTGTTTTGAGAGCATGTGTTACTCTGCAACTTTCCACGTAGCCTCCTGACCTTGAACTTGTGATTCTCCTGCATCGGGCTCCTGAGTGCTGAGACTGTATTTGTACATCTGCACACTGAGCATTCTCCTATCAACTTGCGTTCTGTTACTTAGTACATGCCTAGCCATGGGCCACGCCCTCTCTGGGTGGGATCTGTGACTGTATAACCATCTTCCTTCCAAGTTTCCTTTTGATCCCCTCCTGAGGTTGTAAGATCTTTACCAACCACCCTTCAACATCTGCATCCTTAATAAGGATGGATGTCTAGGAAAGGGGCTGTGGGCATAGGACAGCTGATAAGCCAAATGTCTTAACTCACCTTGAAAAAAAATAGATGAAAGAAACTCGGAGACTATTGGGAATTCTCCTCTTTCTGTGGAGATCCTCTTGGTGGGGAGCTGGCAGCAGGCTTAACCACAAGAGTCAGAGGTCCTGGGACCTGATGACTTGGTCACTACCTGTCGAGTCAATATGCCTCCTACAGACAAAGAGGAAGGGTTATTAAGAAAGGATGGCTCAGCAGGTAAACCCTAATGATGACCCAAGTTCTAGCCCCAAGACCCCCATGTTAAACTCCTCCAAGTTGTCCTCTGATCTCCACATGTGTACTAAGGCCTGCATGCCTACGCGCATAAGATAAATGAATGTGATATAACATTTAAAGTAAGGTCATTAGGACTGAGGAACAAACACAGTTGGCAGAGTGCTACCCTGATGTGCACGAAGTTGTGGGTTCCTTCTGCCAAACTACAGAAAGGAAGGGTGGCTGTTAGCTCAGTGCTGTACAACTCTGTTATGCTATATGGGTACATGAGACCATGAAATACCATTAAAGACTCTTTCAGAATCTCTGCCCAGTCTCATTCTTTTTAATCTCTGTGTGTGTGTTTGTGTAAGTGGGGGTGACACATGACATGGTGCATGTATGCAGGCCACAGGGCCTCCCTGGGCATTGGTTCTTGCCTTTTACCTTCTCTAGAGGCAGGGTCAATTGTTCTCCTTTGTATATGCCAGGATGCCTGTCCTCTCACAGTAGAAGAGTGGGAGTACTGATGTCACTATCCTATTTGCTGGGATTAGAGGCCCACATTACCACATGCTGGGTTTGGCCCTCATTATCTTCTGCCCTATAATCCAATCTAGGATTTCCCACTGACCCTGCCTGCCATGAACTAACCCCTCTCTCTGCGGGACCTGTGGCTGTGTAACCATCTTCCTTCCAAGTCTGTTTCAGGTCTTCTCTTGGAATTATGAAATTGTTTACTATCCCACCTCCAGCATCTGCATCCTAAGTATATACACTGCAGGTGTCAAGAAGAGGGACTGGGTGGGGCATATGACAGACAGCAAACCAGGTACCTAATTAACCTCAAGAAATAGAGGGAAGAGACTTGGAGCTTCTCTCTGGAGGGAAGTAATGGTGATAAGTAATGAAGGGAAATAACCACTAAGATCAGAGGTCCTCTGACGAGAATGACCTCAGTTCAGACTGCTGGAAGCAAAGGTTCAGGATTGTTCTTAGAAGAGGTAGGAAGGTTGGGAGTGTAACTCAGGGAATATTATCTAGTCTTTCTAAAGCTGTGGGTTTGATACTTAACATAACCAAATAAACTCAGTATGTCACTCATGCCTGAAATCCCAGCTCTTGGGGGAGGTGGAGGCGGGAGGAGCAGGTCAACCTGTGCTACACTGCAAGGTAGAGGTCATCCATGGCTGCCTGAGTCCCAACCTCAGAGAAGTCTAAAGAAAAATCAACAAAACAAAGGGGATTGATTGCAAAGGAGTGCTCAGGATAATACCAGAACCCAGATCCTCTAACTGCTGCTCCCTCCCCACCCCAATCGGGCCACAACCCAACAGTCTCTCAAGACCAGCTACAGAGACCTGATGTGTCCTGACAGCTCTCAGAGAGTTCCATTTTTCTCTATCCCCATTACAGTTGGAAGCCCAGCCCCTCCAATATGAAGACAACCTTGAATTAAATGACTGAAAGCAACACCCTTTTCTCCCTTTGTTCTCTGGAATTGAACTGTCTCTTTCCCTTCAGGGTCACCATCATGCTATACATGGTGATTCTCTTTCCTATGCTCTCCCAATCATGACTCTTCTGTCCATGAGCCTGTGGCTCTCCCTATATAATTGTTTTTATTTTATGGGCATTGATGTTTTTCTTGTATGTATGACTGTGTGAAGGTGTCAGATTCCCTGGAACTGGAGTAGACAGTTGTGAGCTGCCATATGGGTGCTGGGTATTGAACTTGGATCCTCTGGAGGAGCAGCCAGCACTCTTCATGGCTGAGCCTTCTCTCCAGCTCCAGGATTATATTTTGAATTTCTGATTCTCCTGCTTTAACCTCTAGACTGGGACTATAGGGAATACCACCGTGTTTGCTTTTGGTTATTTAATTTGAAACAGTATGCATGCCTTTGATCCCATCACTCTGGAGGCAGAGGCTGGCAAATCTCTGTGAGTTCAAGGCTACAGAGCTACACAGGGAAACCTTGACTCAAAAAATCCAAAAAAAAAATGGCCCCTATAGGCTCATAGGGAGTGGCACTATTAGGAGGTGTGGTGTGGTAGAATATTATTTTGAGGTGTGTGACTTTTGTTTATGCTGCATTTGTTTAACTCTGAATCTGTGAGTCTTTGCCTGTCTAAAACACCTGATGGTCTAATAAAGCACTGAACAGTCAATAGCAAGGCAGGAGAGAGGATAGGTGGGGCTGGCAGGCAGAGAATAAATAGGAGAAAGGAGAAGGAGCAATAAGAGAAGAAGGAGAGGAGGGCATCAGGGGCCAGCTACCCAGATACTATCCACCCAGCTAGCCAGGGAGGGAGAGTGAAAGTAAGATATGTATGAAGTAAGAAGAGGCAAAAGGTAGTCAGTATAATTTACATTAAGATGGCAAGAAACAAGCCAAGCTAAGGCCAGGCATTCCTAATTAAGAATAAGCTTCCATGTGTGATTTACATGGGATCTGGGTGGCTGGCCCCCCCAAAAAGGACAAAAAGCCAAAGTAGCAAAAGAGTAAAACCAACATGGGGCTCAGATATCCATCTAGAGCCTGAGAAAGCTTGAAAAAAGACACAGCTCCTTTGATAGGTGCTGCTATTTGTTGGGCGCTGCCCTGGAACCACGCCATGGCGAGATGGCGCTGACATCCGCCTGACAGTTGCAATGACAACCCTGCTGCGCATGAGCAGGAGCTCCCTGCCCACGAGGCCGGGGGGTGCCTGTGCCTTACGTCACCTCGGGTGACATAATTGGACCAGTAATTAACTGCCACGTCCGAGGCGAGAGAAACTCTCTATATAAGGAGAGTCCCGTTAGGGCGTGGGGTCTTCGCTTTGTGATAGCTTATGCTCCTCCTCTCAGGAGCAATAAAGCTTACTGCAGAAGGATCCTGATCGTGTGCCGCGTCATTCTTGCGGGCGAGATAGAGCGCGGGACAACTGGTGCCGAAACCCGGGAAACTGACCAAGCCATCGTCCGCACCATCGAAGACCCCTTGGAAACGAGGAGGATTCAGAACTGCAGGCAGGTAAGTTCGGAGAGGTATGCTGATCTGGGACTTTGGTCTGGGGTTGTCTCCGCCTTGGGAGGGTTTGCCTGAAGCAATCGTCCTCCTTGGTATTGTTCTTGTCTTCTTTATACTGGTCACCTAAGCCTCCTGTAGATAAAGGGGCCTGAACAGTCTCTTCTGTCCTTTGCTTTCGTTTTTCCCCATTTGCTGTAAGACGGACGTAGATAAGCCGCAGTCATCTGTACCATTGGTAACGGTGGTGATTAGTCAGACGTAGATAAGCTGCAGCCACCATGGGGTCCTCTCAATCCATATTAACTACCTTGGAGACTGTATTAAAGCAGAGGAATATCAAGGTTGACAGAAAGACGTTACGGAGCTTTGTCAAGGAGGTCGATCGTGTGGCACCCTGGTATGCCCTTTCTGGCTCTCTCACCCTGGCATCATGGAATAAGTTGGGGAGGGATCTTGATCGACACCTAGAGCAAAGAGACCTAAGGATAGGGACCAAGGCAGTATGGAAACTAGTGAAGAACTGTATTGAGGATGAAGCTTGCCAGGCGGCCGTTGTAGAGGGTCAGGCCATTCTCGAGGTAACCCAGGATAGCATGTCAGAAACCGAACGTAGTGAGAGGTCAGGCGCGCGCGAGAAAACGGAGGTATACAAAAGAAAAACTAAGAAAAAGAGCCCTCATGTTTTAGGAGAGAACATTATAGCAAAACCAGATGCCCTTCCTGGCCTTTCCACTAAAGGGACAGGTCAAATGTATCCTTTTAAAGAACTGGAGGCGCTGAACCTCGGCAGCTCCGCCAGTTCTGAGTCTTCTGATTCCGAACAAGACTCTCTAGGCCCTGGAGATGAGACAGAACTAGAAGAAGAGGCTACAAAGTACGAGGCGGAGAGATATCACCCGGATGGGGAGTTTTTCTCTAAACTGCTACCCAAGGGCAAGGCCTCAGCAAAAGCGATAGCAACTCCATCTGCTCCGCCTATGCCGCTCTCTCCCCCCCCCCTTATGAAGGGCGTTTACATAGTTTCTCCTTTTTACCTGAAAAAATTAGAAGAAAGGTCCATCTCACCTTCCCCGTTTTCGAAGTAGAGAATGGAGGGCGGGTACATACTCCGGTTGAGTATAAACAGATAAAAGAATTGGCAGAATCGGTTCGTAATTATGGACCTAATGCCAACTTTACTATTATGCAGATAGAAAGGCTTGCCTTGGATCCCTAACTCCTGCCGATTGGCAGATGGTGGTGAAGGCAGTATTACCAAATATGGGGCAATATATGGAATGGAGAGCATTATGGCATGAGGCTGCCCAGTCACAGGCGAGGGCTAACGCCATAGCACTCACCCCAGAGCAGAGAGAATGGAATTTCGATCTGCTTACAGGACAAGGAGTCTATGCTGTGAACCAAATTAATTACCCTTGGGGCGCATATGCTCAAATAGCCACCCTGGTAATTAGGGCATGGAAGTCACTTACGCAGAAAGGGAAGGCAGGTGGACAACTTACCAAGATTATACAACAACCTCAGGAGCCGTTTTCCGATTTTGTGGCAAGGATGACGGAAGCGGCAGGAAGAATTTTTGGAGATACAGAGCAGGTTAAGCCGTTGATAGAACAGCTCATCTTCGAGCAGGCTACACAAGAATGTAAAACAGCAATTGCCCCTAGGAAAGGAAAAGGTTTGGATGATTGGCTCAGGGTATGCAGAGAACTCGGAGGACCGCTTACTAATGCAGGCTTGGCGGCTGCCATTCTTCAATCACAAAGAAAGCCGACGGGCTTCAAGGATCGGAGGCTCTGTTTTAATTGTGGAAAGCCAGGGCACCTAAAAAAGAATGTCGAGCTCTAAAAAGGGTCAGGATACTATCTGTGCCAGATGTGGGAAAGGCTACCATAAGGCAAGCCAATGCAGATCCATAAGAGACCTTAAGGGCAATCTCCTTCCCCCCCGTAAACCAGGTACAGCTGACCAAGAGCCAAAAAACGGCCAGGTGGGCCCCCGATCCCGGGGCCCGCAAAGATACGGGACTCAGTTTGCCAAGGCCAGTTCCGAGGAGGAGACGACTCCACAAGAGACGTCAGGATGGACTTGCGTGCCGCCACCTCAGTCCTACTAATGCCACATATGGGGGTCCATCCAGTGCCTGCGGCACCTTTGCATCCCCCATTGCCTGATGGTATGATAGGACTTATAATAGGCCGTGGTGCCCTTACTGCGCAGGGACTAATTGTACATCCTGGAATAATTGATAACCACCATATTCCAGATATTCAAATTCTTTGTTCCAGCCCCCAAGGTGTTTTCTCCATCCATA